CTATTAAGCAGTGGAACAGCTTGCCTCCTGGAGTTGTGGGTGCTCCATCGCTGGAAGTTTTCAAGAAAAGATTGGACAACCATTTGTCCAGGATGGTATGAGGACTCCTGCCTTGGACAGGGGGTTGGAATAGAAGACCTCCAAGGCCCCTTCCAGCCCTATGATTCTATGATTCTATGATTCTAGGCCTCCCACTCCAGGAGACATCACTTCTGCTGCAGCGGAATGAAGGTTTCCCAGGCTTTTGTTACTCAACCAGGAGTCCTGATTTGATGGTTGTATCTCAGGAGCCACAAGGAATTTGTATCAAGGGCATCTGTGGGATGCATGGGTCAAACGTTTGTCAGATAGATGGTGGGGGAGATGTACTCATCCAATCTCCATCCCTATTTTGCACAAATACTAACCAGGCCCAATCAAGGCTACTTAACTTCCAGACCTAGATCAGGTTGACCAAATGTAGCTACCTGTTTAGACTCTTTTTTTCCGGTCCCTTCGAGTCAGTGTTGACTCCTGGAGACTTCCTGGACTAGTCCCTTTCGTTTTCTTGGCAAGATTTCAGGAGGGGTTTGCCCTTGCCTGCTTCCTAGGGCTGAGAGGGAGTGACTGTCCCAAAGTCACCCAGCTGGCTTCATGCCTAAGGCGGGACTAGAACTCAGGGTCTCCCAGTTTCTAACCTGATGCCTTAACCACTGCACCAAACTGGCTCTACTGCTTCTAAAATACTGCAGAAGAACAATCTGCCCTGGGAGGGGAAATCTCATTTGGAAATGGAGCAATGAGTGGATTTATCAAACAGATGAGAAATTTCCTATGGTTTGGAAGAGTGACACCATATTGACAAGTGACTACAATTTCCCCACTGGAAGGACCCTCACTTACCTTCCTGTCTTGCCTTGTAGATAGGCTTGTCTGTCTGAACAAAAAGTAGGTCATTCAAGTTCCTGACTGTGACTATTTCTTGTTGCATCATGTGCAAATGTTGTCCCTTCATTGCCACCTTGATAACAACCTTGGAAAGGTCTGTAGGGCTGAGATAGCTTGAAGAATAGCTTGAAGAACTGCTTGAGGAAGTGTTCAACCTGGGAAGCTGGAGAAGAAACAAAGGTAGCAGCATGAGGGCTTTTCACAGTTCCTGGTGCAAGGATCCATAACCTCTTGCTCCTCTTCCTGGACCCTTGCCAGTAATCAAGGGTGTCAAAAAAAGTCAAGATGGAGGCCACAACTATGCCATCAAAGCCCCACCCTTTTTTTATATGAATCACAACACACATAAAGCAACAGGAGGTTGATTGCAGGGTTGTCACTTCCACCTTAACTTTTTTGACTTCCTCCCTCACGGACATCTCTGCCAGTAATAATGTGCTAGAGGAAAAGGCTTCATAAAACAGGACGACACCAAGATTTCAGAATGCAACTTGCTGTTTTTCAGAAAATGGGGCATCTGCTTCCAAGGTCATCTCAGGGTTGGGTCAGGACTACTGTTCCCCTGGACATCTGATCTACCCCACCTCATTTTTAATCTTGTAACTCAAGAGTTTCCTACAGAATGGCAGATCTTTTTAAGAAGGCGGGGGGACCTTTTTTCCAAAAGAAAATCACAAGTAGAGGAGCACATAAAAACTAGGAATGCGGAAAGCTTTGATTCCATAATTTGTTACAAACTACTTCATTTTGGCCAGACATCAACCAAATGTTCATAGGATCAATGGCCCTGTGTTAAAAATGCAGATGTTCTTGGATTTATTCCCAGAAATTGGAATCTATCAAGATATCAAAACCTGTGGATTTGGGGGGATGGGAGGTTTGGTAAAAGAGTTTTTGTAGAATACAAGATATCTTCACCAGATTTGTAGTAATGAGCGGCTGTCCAGATCTGAATTAACGGTTTTGCTTTGTTTTTAGAAAAGGGCAAGGAAGAAGATTTTAGAGCAACATAGTCCAAGTTACTGAAGTTTATAACATTTTCCAGACTCCCCTTTTTCATTATGATTAAGTTTGAACTTTACTGTTTCTCCTAATACTATCCATTAGCAGTGTAGCATGCATTTACGCTTTCCTTTTGTAAATCATCTTAGCAAAATAAAATGATAAAAAAATAGAATAGGGGAAAAATTTGCTTCAAAATGCAAAACACAAGTTTGTTAACACCAGGGCCATGTAAAGCTGATTCCAATCCCTGAATCATTTTGCCTTCTGTTTTTCTAATCTGATTCAAAATCAAATAATTTAATCCAACGGGAGGTATCTGAATGGATTGGATGGTTGGGAAAGGCTTTTGTATGCGTTCAATGGGCACATGTTTTCTAAAGATTCAAATCATCCAACTAGATTGAATCCCGGATCAAATCAGTGATTCAAATCAGACTGAAGCCAATCTGCACACCCCGTAGTAATAATTAGTACTGCTCTAATTATGAACTGTCATATCTACTTACCTGCTTACTCAATTTGGGCAAGCATAGAATCATAAAATCTTAGAGTTGGAAGAGATCCTTGAGGTGATGGAACCCAACCACTGCTCAGTGCAGGAATCCAGATCAAAGTTTCTCAGAGAGACAGCTGCATCTAGCCTCCATTTGAACATATCCACCAACTCTCCAAATCAGGGAATCAGAACTCAGGGGAGTTGGAAGAGACCTTGAGGTCTTCTAGTCCACCCCCCTGACCAAAGCAGGAATCCCCAGTCCATTCAGACATATGTCTGTCCAGCCATTGTTTGAAAACCTGCAGTAAGAGAACCCCCACAACTCTAGGCTTAGGCTGTTCCATCGCTTCATTGCTCCCACAGTCAGGAAATTGTTCCTTATTTTCTGTTTGGATCTTCCTCTGTAGATTGGTTTATTATGTAATATAATGTAGATTAGATCCAGTCGGTTCATCATATCTTCAGGACTGAAGAGAATAAATCCACACCCTCTTCCCTGTGACGTCCCTTCATATATTGGAAGACTGTTATCATATCTCCCTGAGCTTTCTCTCCTTTAGACTAAACGTACCCAGTTTTTAAAACCTCTTTGCAGGATTTAGCCTTCAAGCCCCTCACCACTGCTTCTGCTATTAAACCGCTCATATTATTAGGAAGGTTTTTCTATGATTCATTCAGAATGTGCTTTCTTGTAAGTTAAATCCATTATCCTGGGTTCTGCACTTGGAACGTGAGAGAATTAGTCTTCTATAGGATATCCTTCCAGGATATTTGGAAAATGCTAATATCTCCTTCATAAGTCTTTACTTTCCAAGCCTGAACATCCACAGTTCCCTCAATCACTTATCACAGAATGCCATTTCTAGTCCCATGATGATTCTCCTTGCCGTTTTCTAGATCTGTTTCCATTTATCTCATTTCTTCTTAAAAAGGAAGCTCTAGAACCAAAGCAGGGTATAGTCAAAAAAGTCAACATGGAGGCCACGACAGTGTGATCCAAACTCTTCCCATTCTTTTTGGGATGCACCACCATGGCTGCCACCTTGATTTTTTTGACCACATCCTGTGGACACCCTTGAACTGAAGCCAGGACTTGAGGGGGGCCTGACCAATGCAAAATAAAATAAAATGATTGCTTTCCATGAAACTATATTTTTTCTGAAGTCATTTTGCATGTATTATTACACTGTAAATTCTACAGGGATATCAGGTCTGCTTATATTCTGCCCCTAATATGTAAATTTCCAGGAAGGCC